CAGTGGGGGACTAGAAAGCAGTAATGCCAAGAGAAGGAAAGAGAGGATAAAGGGGTATTCAGTTTAGTCCCTGGCCTCTGGTTCGGTGGGCTTAGATGATCTGAGATGCAGGAAAACAATATGAGCTACTCTTGTTTCTGAAAATGAAGGCAATAAAAGCATTGGACACAGATGGGTAAGCCGTGTAATGCAGAGTTTAAAAGATATTTCTGCTTTATTACAGATTTGATCTTATTTTCTGAACAGCAGCAGAAACTGCTCAAACATCTCCTCAATATTTTTGAATGGAAGATTAACATCATTACCTAAACAGATCATTGCAATGATGGACTGAAAGGAAAGGCATCGGTCTTCTTTTAACCCAACTAACCTCACAAAACCTCCTAGCTCAGTTGTATGCAGCTGTAGTCTGTTTTCCTCTTGGCTGCAGCTGAACGGCATTTACACAGAAGTGTTCAAAACGTCTTCAAACACCCGTGAGAGTCCTCCACATCCTCACGTGAATCTCAGGGCTTCATTCTTGTGTAGCTGAACATGTTCAGAGACAACTTTTCAATAAATGTCTTCTTGGTCGTTACTTCCATGTTTAATTTCCACAAGTAAGACAACTATGGGCGTGGTTGGCAATTAAAGTATGAAGAAGTTTCTAAAGAGTCTCAAATCTGCCTCAACATGGTCTCTCGAGAAATTTGTTTATGTTCAAAAACGTTTTACCTCAAAACACTCATGGCCATCCTTTGCATCGTGAGCCTTTCATATTGCAAATAAACTGAAGGCAAACTGCCAAAGAAATCAGGACACAATTAAGACACTTTGTGACTAAATTGAAACAAAAAAAATTTTCAAAACTTTTGTAATTTGTTTGCAATCACATTACATGCGCCACGTGATCTGAACAAAATGTTTTGCAAAAGTGTCATAAGAGCAGATTCAGTGTGGTTCTGACTGAAAATTAGCATATTTTATCATCGTCTCAAGTCTCTAACTAGTTGCCAGCAGTTGCAGCCCCGTGTGATACTGGCTTAACAAAGACCTAGCATGACAAGGCCAGCCCTGCAGATGTAAATCACACAAATGTAGAACACAAACACACTGAAAGTTGCAAAGCTGTATCAGTGAAAGCAAGACTTTCATGGGGGGTAGGAGGAGTAAGCCTCCTGTTTTGCTTGGATGATAAACAAAACCTTAAATGACCTACTTTCATTCCAGCTCTAATTCCTCCACCGCTCGCCTCCTCCTCGCGCACGCACAGCTGATGCACAAAGGCTGGATGGGGGTTCAAAGTGTGAAGCTGAGCATTAAATCATAACATAAAATGATATGCTTGGATCTTTTCCATCTTTTTCTTTTTTTAAGGATTTCAATGGGATTTTTTTCTAACTTGCATTTGTGCCCACTCTAAAAAATAAAACAATAATAAAAAAAAAGCATAAACTCCTTTGAGACAGTGTGTTTAGGATACGAACAAGCAGTTAAGACTGAGAGTGTGTGGTGGTAAATCACTGCCCTCCAGGCTATCAACAACTTCCATCCAAAACACAATTCAATCACGGATGGGGCTGCAAAAAATAGAAAAGGAGGAAGCATTTACAACAGCAATGGTAATTGCATTTGGATCTCATTCCACAGGAAGTCATTACCATGGATTTCAAAAATATCTTTGTTGTCGGAGTTAAGGAAGAATTTCCTCCTTTGGCTGTGATAATATTTGTGTTGGTGTCAGTGAGAGGACAGGGAGCAAAGTGAAAGGAGAGGAATTTATGTCAGTGAAAGGGAGTGGCATCGGTTACTCCACGCAGAAAACCATCCGAGGAGCAGCTCACTCCCACTTGCTGCCTAATCAGTTCTGCAACTCAGGTTGGTTTCACAAAAAAAAAAAAAGAGCGAGAGAGAAATACTCGCTCTTTTGCTGGAAACGTAGCAGACTGCTTTTCCCTGCATGTAAGGGGAGAAAGTTCTGTGACAGCGCTGATGTCTGCAGCAGGAGAGAATCAAATTTCCTTTCATGCTGCGAAAAGCGATCCACACCACAATTCCACACTTCGTCCTCCAGTTCAATGCCCCGAGCTGCAAACTTCTTCTTAACCTGAGAACAACCATTCAGCAGGGACCCCCTCTAAATGCTGTTATAGCAGTTGATAATTGCTTTTTTGAAGGTTTGCAACTATTTAGAAAGCTGATGAATGGCAGCTAGGCAGAAAGCAATCAAAAAGAGAGAAAATGAGTGTTTATTAAATCTACAGTTTCCAGAATTAAGCACTGGTTTGGATGATTGTTTGGCAGAGTGGTGGAGGGCAATTCTGTTGCTGTAACTTTTGCTGTATTTATCTCATTTTATTTTACGGTAACCATCACTTTGATGGATCTTTTTTGTAAGACGTACCAAAAAAGTTCTCAGTAATAAAACGAGGTATCAAATGCAATCATCTGTCCAACTATTTATGTCCACAAACACTCCAGATGCAGGAAAACAAAACACAGATCCTTGCTTTGCTTCTGCTTTAAAATACAACTTGTTAAAACAGTGAAAATGTTTAAAGCATCAAGCATTTTCTGTTGAATTGGGGTTTTTTTCACCCTTCTACACTTTCTGTCAGGCTAACACCTTTCCTGTTCCCATCCCCGTGTGGTGGCTGCATTGTGGGCCCCAGGAAGCGTGCCTGACCCCCCTTAGGGAAACCAGAACCCGGTGTGAGTGAGGTGATGACTAGTGTGGATCAGCATGGGCTTGTTTATATTTTGCAGACCACACAGACAAGACACGGTCAGGACAGCATATGTATGCCATGTGTGTGTCTCAATTACAGGCAGGCCGTAGCTGGTCCGCTGCTTAAAGCAGACACATGAAAGGGATCGGTCAGGCTTTTGTCGTGGAAACTCTAATATGTTCCTCGCTTTTTACACACAGTACAGTCGGAGCGCGGCAGTCTGCGTGTGCCACAAAAAAAAAATGTTAACAGAAATCACCAAAGGAGGATTTTCATTTTTGTTAGCTTGGTCTGGTAGTTCCATCCTGCTCAGCCTTAACAGAGGGAAAACAAATGACCCGAGCATGTAAATCCATCTGTCTCAGTGGAGGGAGCTGGTTTTGACTCTCTTACAGGGATTTCTCAGCCCGATTGAACAATGATAAATCTTTACTGCCGTACTCGTCAAAAGCTGAAAGAGCCTCTGTTTGGTCAAAGAGTCTGTATCCTTCAGTACTGTTGAGCTAGCGGCTAGTTCAAACACAACAAATGTCTGCCATCTAAAAGCAGGAGCAGTCTCACAGGTGTTCACACAAAGTTTACCTTCATAACTCTACTGTCAGATTACCATGTTGTTTCAGTAGAAATATGAAGAGGAACCTATAGCTGGAGATGCTGATTTCAAAAAACAACAACAGTACACTTTGGTCTTAACTTCACTTCATCAAGCCATTAGCTCATCAGTTCAGTAAGACCTAAGCTCTGTTTCTCCAAACTAAGGCTGATCTTGAAGCTAGCTAAACCAATAAGATGATGATTGCAGAAACATACTTGAAAATGGTCAAAATATCCTTATTAATGCTGTTTGGTGTTTTTGCAATTATAGAAAATAATCCGTTCATCTGTTTGTCGTCTCCAGGACTCTTCCTGCCACTGCTGCAAAAGTAAAAATGAATTTCATCAAGTGTGTTCTTTCAGCTTCTAGTCTGCTGATCACACATTATGTGATTAGATGTGAAACTCATCAGAGCCCTTTTTATGCAACAATGAAAAAGACATAAAGACCATTGTCGAGTTCATAAAGAATAATTCAAGCATTTGAGACACACTTTCCATCATCTCCATCATTCCTCCAGGGTAAAATAAGCTGCCATTGATCAATGTGTAAGCATGTGTTGTTTCAGGTCGTTTTCAAGCTGGACACACACTTTGTCAATCCATCACTCCAACAAGGCAACTGCGGTTACTCACATTAACAACTGAGGGTTAGAATAAATTAACTGTTTCATCAAATCCCAAAAAGAAAAGTTATAGACACTAATTTCTGTATCACTCAGAGAAACATGTCCAGCGAACTGGGAGCATTCTTCAGACAGCAACCTCACTTCTCCCAGCACCTTTCCAACCAGAGCATTGATCAGTCCACAGGTGTGTTTCCCATTCACATGCTCAGCTTGCTCATCGGTTGACTAGATAGAAGTTTGTCTGAAGGCAGCCTCTGCCTCTCGCTGTCCTCCAACACTGGATTAGTATCGGTGGTTTGAACCATGCTGGGGAAATGTCTGACATAGTTAATTAAGGATGAGATGAATCACTGACATCTTCTCAGCTTTTCGTTTTCATCAGCAGCTGAAGGAACGGTTTCAAAAATAGCAAGTCATTAGCAACAAAAATGCTAAACTTGGTCACCAGTTTTTTTTATTATTTTTTATGATAAATGAGAGATGGATCACAGAACAGGAAAATGGGATCTAAAGCTTGCAACATTTTCTTAGAATTTTTTTAAAAGTTGTATAAGAGATTATGGCCGGATATCAGTGTCGCAAATAAGGGGTATTTCAGTGAGACGCTGAAGAAGGCAGGAATGGAAAAAAATGTTAAAATAATAATAATAATAATAATAATAATAATAATAATAATAATAATGACATATAATGACATAATGGCTCAGTGGAAAAATTGTTTAAAAGATTGTATCTAAAAATAGAAATCATAACAGAATGGCTGTAAATGGGACCTGCTTACTTTTATTATTATTATTATTATTATTATTATTATTATTATTATTATTATTATTATTATTATTATACTTTCTTGTTTCCGTTATATTATTAGTATTTGTTGCTGTATGCTGTGGGACGAGTTGCCATTGATAAAATACTGCATAGCATGGCTACATCAAAGTCCAAAAAAGTGTAATAAAGAAAATAAATCCCAAACTTTTTTCCGTTTAAGTGTGCGACCTAAAGCTTTAATTCACTACAAGAAGAAAAGAATCTTCCAGAAAGACAGAACGGGACATAAACTCCTTACCTGGTCCCTCTGGATGCATGGCAGAGAGGTCCGCCGGTGCGGCTTACTGTTGGAGTGACTGTGTGCCATGTCTGAGGCTATAACCGAACTGGACCTCCTGCGCCTTTTAAATACAGGAATCTCTTCCCTGGCTCCAGTCACGGGGGTGCAGCCCTCCTTGTGCGTCCCTTGTTTGGGAAGCAGCTTGTCGGCATACCTCGCCAGCAGGATGCCCAGCACTCCAACCAGGTAGGCTGCGTACGGTCTCCAAGAGGCCCGCACTTTGTGCAGCGAAAGGAGAGACAAGGTCCGGATCAAGTTGATGAAAACGATCACCGAGATGCCCTGGTTCATTCGCACTACCATGAGTGCGCAGGCGGCCACGCAGATCAGCACGAGCGCGGCCGCGGTGGTGACTGAAAACAGCTGCGCATCCGTCCCGTCCAGGAGAGAGCACGCGGCGACTTCACCCAGGTGGCACAAGGTCAGCAGGGAGAGGGCGGTCTGGACCAGAACCCCGCAGTGGATCAAGTATACACCGAGCCAAAAGAAGGCACAAACGAGTGTGAACAGCGGAGAAAACACACTCCAGCAAGTTTGGAGCAGCTCGGCGGCGCAGCCTGAGTGAAGGGGGAACGAGGGGAGCGGGAGCGCGCTGCTGCTGCCGCTGCTGCTGCTGCTGCTGCTGCTGGACTCAGCTCTCCACTCTGCACATCTTAGCAGCAAGGCGGAAACAACAGAGAGCGACCCCACACACAGCGCGCTCCGGACGCTCTGGGAGCTCCAGAGTTTTGTAAACATTTGCTTCACCCACGCTCCATAGCCTCGGTCACGGCGCTGTGGGACGACACATGTTTTCACATAACCGTTACGATTCGGTGCGCTGCAGTGGCGCTTTTCACACGCGCCGCTCTGCGCACCGGTGCTCTCTGCAGACATCGCCATCACTCATGGTAGAAATGAAGTATGAGGAAGTCTATAACGCATCCATACTAGCGTGACTCTGGGACAGGACCGGAGTTAGAGACAGAAAAAAAAACACAAGTTCTTGTGCGCATTTTGAAAAAAAAGTGGAGCGAATACGCACATCTGTGTCTCCATTTAGGAATGGAGATGTGGTGCCAGGGTGTGTGTTCTTTGTTTTTCCAGGTGCGGGATACAGAACTACTGGCCCATAACGCATATACAAGAGCCTGGATGACAGAGAGTACCCTTGCATACAGATCTAGGACACTACTGCTCTGCGCGCGACGTCCCGCTTCGCGCTCAGAGGCGCGCCGACTCATTCACTTCTCTTTGTGGCTCCGCCACGGCGGTCCGTGCAGCTGCAGCAAAACATCTGCCGAGTAGTTCTGTAAGCTTTCAGCCAGAGGCGACCGGTGCGTCCACTCCTGTTTCTGCAGACATTTCCTCCGTTACTTCCAAGGGGAAACGAATAAATAAGGTTCAGGATTCCCGACTCGGGGTCCGCCTGGTTGTTGGTCGGCGTTTTGACGAGTGAAACCAGAGTGTTTGTTACCATCCCTCCAACCAGTGAAGAGTCTAGAAGGCTCTTTCACACCCCCCAGTTCCTGCTGCACACAGGGAGCAGCGGTGAAACCCCCAAATCCTCCTCAGCCAGCCCAGCAGGCCCAGATCGACTGAGGTTTAGTTTCTGCTTTTGTTGTTGTTGTTTGTTTTTCAGTTTTTAAAATGCAAAATAGCATTTGTTATTGCAAAATGGTTTTATAAATCAAGCTTGTCAGTTGTTCAAAGGTAACTGACCCTAAAAGCTGGTTCTAGGAATTTAGCCCCACTCATCTTTGCACTTTTGTTTTAAGTCAGCTACAGTAGAGGGTTTGCTATCTGTAACAGCCCTTTTAAAGGGACAATGTGTAGTTTTTTATCATTTATCTCTGGACATTCCATCAAAATGTTGTTGAAAATGAATGATATTATGCTCAGTTGTTGAAAAATATTGGCGGCTTCTTAACATTTAACCATAAAAATCAGGTCTAAAGTACATGGGAGCAGATCTAAGGCTACGTTCACACTTGCAGGCCTTGATGCTCAATTCTGATTTTTTTGAGTAAATCCGATTTTTTTTGTGTGTGTGTGTGTGTGGCTGTTCACACTATGACTTAAATGCGACATCAAACTCTTTCCAGTGTGAATGCTTCATGGCCCCAAAGCGACCCGCATGCGCAGAAGGCAAGAGGTCACACTCAGTGGAGCCAAAACCAGGAGCAGCGGAGTTGTGATGTGAAAGTTTTCACTGACAGTTTATCCACAGGATCAGGATCACACCCGTTAATTCTTCCGTTTTGGGCTGGTAACAGTAAAACTGTAAACTAATTTACTCCTTGTTCCCGCCGTCTTCTTGAATTATTATTCACAGAAAACGTTCCAGTATTAATTCATTCACGGAGACGGAGACCGGTGAAACGCTTCGCTGCAGCAGCACCCCCCGCTCCCGTTCTCATGCACTCCTGTATTTTTCATTCCTAAACTTAAAACATGATGTCCAGACAGACTCCTGAACCCTTCTGTCAGCGCTTTTCCTCAAGAACATCCACACACAACGCTCACCTCCGCTGAGTCAGCGACGTAGAAGACGGATTTAATGCTACATGACTGTTTAGACTGCAGTCGCTTTCAAAAACATCTGATATATATCAGAGTTAGTACTACATATTCAAGTGACAAGCACTGCATTTGAAAATAAAAACATCTGTGTCGTTCAGACTGTCATAAAAAATCAGATATGGGTCGCATGTGGGAAAAAACGGATTTGATGGTCTTTCTCCTGCAGTTTGAACGTGGCCTAAGTCTCAGGGCGATGCCATATTAGATGCCATGTTTCCTTCTACGGGAGCCCTTGAGGACAAAATGCACTTACTGATTTGTAACAAACGGTTGCAAAACTTTCACCATTCATAAAGGTTGTACTTTTACACATTTACTTTTTGCTACTGATTTTGTCTCTTTGTCATTTTGCTGAAGTTTACACTCCCAAGGGCTTTTCACCCTAATGGGGATCCATTTGTAAGGTCTTACCCCAACATAAAAATACTGCTTGCTTGCAACAATTTAGGTATCTACTGCCCCCTGTCACCAGGAACAATACACACTGTCACTTTAAATATGAAACAAAATATTAAACGCATGTACAAAAGGTATTCTGTGAACTAAATACTGAAGTTTTTAACTGAAATAAATGTAAATTAAATCTTAAAGAATGCATAAACACATGCGTAGAGTGTATTTCAATATATCCAACCGAAATAATTACTAATACTGATATTCAGATTTTATTAAGGTCATCTAACTTGTGTTTATAGTAATTTCTGGAGGTGGAACGGCTGGTGTACTGGTGCAGCAGCAACAACCTGGAGCTCAATGCTCAGAAGACAGTGGAGATGATTGTGGACTTCAGGAAAGTCACAGCCCCATCTCTCCCCCTCGTCCTGACGGACACCCCCGTCACCACTGTGGACTCCTTCCGCTTCCTCGGAACCACCATCACACATGACCTTAGGTGGGAGCCATCCATCAGCTCCCTGCTCAAAAAGGCCCAGCAGAGGATGTACTTTCTGCGGCAATTGAAAAAGGCCAAGCTGCCGGCCCAGATGATGGTGCAGTTTTACACGGCCAACATTGAGTCCATCCTCACCTCCTCCATCACTGTGTGGTACGCTGGAGCCACAGTGAGGGACAAACATAGACTGCAGCTCATTGTGCGCTATGCTGAGAAGGTGATTGGCTGCAGCCTTCCATCGCTCCAGGACCTGTACGTCTCCAGAACTCGGGGGCGTGCAGGTCGGATAGCAGCTGACCCTTCTCACCCGGGACACAGACTTTTTGAGCCGCTCCCCTCAGGCAGGAGGTTACGGTCCATCCGGACCAGAACCTCCCGCCATAAGAACAGCTTCTTTCCATCTGCCGTTAGACTTGTGAATAGATTATAAAAACACAACCATGCTCGTCTTCTGTACTCGACACAACTTCAAGTTATCGGCCATGTTAACATTACCTGCCATTTTTTATAGCTAAAAGTTTTATTCTAGTTTTTTTTTTATATTCTATTTTATTCTGTTTTTAATCTTATTATTCATGTTATATGTAGCACATTAGTACCGAAGCAAGTTCCTAGTTTGTGAATTGTTTGTTCTCTGACAATGGCAATAAACCTATTCTGATTCTGATTCTAGTAATATTTACTAAGCCTCTGCATAGGTTGTAGTATTTATTCAGGTAACATTTGTCTGATTTAAAACATTAGCATAATTACAAAAAAGGAATAAAATAGCAACTAATTTTTACAACACCGTGTATCATTTTTCATTTATCTTATGTACATTTGAATTAAGAGCACAAAAGGTCTGTTATGTATTGACCAGTACCCATCCATCCATCCATCCATCCATCCATCCATCCATCCATCCATCCATTTCAGACGCTTATCCGGAGTCGGGTCGTGGGAGCAGTAGTCTAAGCAGAGAGGCCTAGACTTCTCTCTTCCCGGCCACTTGGGCCAGCTTAGAAACTTAGTCCCTCCAGCATGTCTTTGGTCTTTCTTTGGGTCTCATCCCAGTTGGACATGCCCAGAAAACCTCAGGAGGCATCCCAATCAGATGCTCAAGCCACCTCAATTGTCTCCTCTCATAGTGGAGGAGCAGCAGATCTACTCTGAGCCCCTTCCCGATGACCGAGCTTCTTACCCTATCTCTAAGAGACACCTTGTGAAGAAAACTAATTTCGGCCGCTTGTATCTGCAATGTTGTTTTTATGGTTAATACACAATGATGGTGGCCATAGGGTTGGAACGTAGTGCATCAAACAATTTTTCAACCATGCTAAAATGAGATTTTTGACCTTGTGCTATTTATGGGTGGATTCCAGTAGATGCTGGTTTTTATGCAAAAGAAAGTTTGCATAGAAAACATTTTATGCAGAAACTTGTTTTTTCATGTGGAAAATCCCAGAAAAGCACTTTCAGCGTCACTGTGGGAGTGCATTAGTACATGTGTTTCTCCAGATGCCTGAGTAATCAAGGGCGGAAATCCCATTTCAATTTGGGGGGGGGGGGGGGGGGGACAATAAACAGTAAAACTTCAGAGAGTAGTTTTTGGGGGGGACATGAAAAAAATGCTCTCTACATACAACACTGTATGTCCTTATAAGAGACTGACCTGAGACTCAGTGCCTGTGTCTGACAGGTTCTGGCTGCCTGTGCTCAAGTGACTGGACATTGCCTAATGAAACCACTTAGAAACACTTTCATAGACATTTCATTTCTTTCTTATAGATGCCTTTATCAAAATGCAAGTTTCTACTTACTTGACGTTCTGGAGCATTAAAAAACGACCTGATGTCTGCTGTTTTTCATTTCTCTGCCATTTCAACTGACCTGGTCTGCTGACAGTTGGAAGCAACACACACACAGATGGGATATTGTCAGTTGAACGGAGATGGAGGATATTGATCAACAATAATATCTTGCCAATTTTGTACATCTCCATAAGCATCCTTTCTTTTTGTTTTCATTTCAACAACAAGACTGTGGCCTAAAACGGAATAAGCAATTCAGAATAAAGATTTAAAAGTAGATCATTAATAGTTGAAGCAACATGTCCTGAAATGACATGGCCATTAGCTGACCAACAGCTACACGTGTGGACGGATGCAAAGCATTAATTTTAAGTACTAAAACATATCTAACTTTTTCACAACAAAGAGAGAGAACATAAATGTCAAATTAAAATTTTATTAAATCACATAACACGAAAGCTACTAAAATCCAAATAGTTCCATATTGATTTTAATATATTTGAAATTTTCCTTCTAAATATGGCTAGAAAAAATAACAAACTTCAAATCAGCTTTCACAAGTCAAGAATCAAAATGACTGAAATATCTTTAATAAATCATAGAAATGTTTGTAGGCTGTTAGAGAATAACTCTGT